ACTCTAACTGTCAAGTGTGTATGTGGTTGTCTACCTTCTGCAAGTACTGACCACACTGCCAGCATCTGGCAGCCAGACTACCTTTCATTTCCTATTCTCCTTCTCATTCTTAGTTGTATGTTCTGGGCTTCGAGCACGTTTCTTTTCACGGGATATTTATCTTTGCTTTTGTTCTACCTGACCAGCATGAGAACTAAACCAGAAAAGCTGCCTGCTCCTGAGGCAGTATGATGTGTGGCATATTGTAGAAGCCACAGCTTCACCACAAACACACTTGGTCTTAGGGAAAGCATATTTTGTTCCTGTCCTATTTAATTCTAGTGCTTTGATATCACATTCAAGCAGTTGAATGAGTGCTGTGTTTTTAAATTAGAAGACTGTATCAGTGAGTTAAATTTTAATTGAATATTCTACTTTAAGTTTCCTTCCCCCTCCCTCCCACCCTCAGCCAAGGTGACTACTGAATTATATCCCCAGCCCTTTTTATTTCCTATTTTGAGGCCAGGTGTCCCTAAGTTGCCCAGGCTGGCCTCAAACTTGTGATCCTTCTGCCTCAGCCTCCCAAATCACTGGAATTATAGGCATGTGCCACCAAATCCACTATATCTAAAAAAAATTTCAACATATAATATACATATAATTATATGCACTATATTAGCAAGTAGTTTGCCGACAAGGGACTTCCATTTTTGCCCAGGCACTATCAAGAGCTGAATCCTCTGTTTGAAAGTATTCGAATTTCAAGATTAAAAGAATTCCCTACACATTAGCTACTGACACCTTTACTTTTGAAACCTGGCTGCTCCTCCATGACCTACACTTCTGGTGCCTAGAACCACTGAACATGTTCATGTCATGGGACATTTGGATCTGCATCTACTTACCAAGATGCCAGGCGAGTCAGCAGCTGGCTGCAGGAATACTCCTGGAAGCTGTTTCTACACCTGAGTGGCTAGCAAGAACTTAGCTATCCGTGGAAGTGATTGCAGTCACATAAATGTGGCCCCACTAAACCAAAACTAAATGTGTTCCCATCTTATATCTCCTAGGTCCCCAAAATGCCCATGGCCACTCTAATGTCACCTCACATACATAAAGGGAACGTGCCAGAGAGGAAGGTGGCCTAGAGAAGCACATGATCTTGACAACTTTTGGCTAAGACATCTTAATTTGCAAATTTTATAGAAGCACATGACCTTGTGATGACATTGTGAAGGTTCCTACTCAGCATCTTTGGGAGGGGCCCTTTCAGCTGAATGCCTCTGAAGCTGAAGCCCTGACAAGAAGAAACCTTCTGATGTTGAACCCAAAGTCTATCTTAGGTAAGCGGCACCACTCCTCCTTAAGTCAGCTGGGTGAGACTGTTTACATCTGGTCTCCTGAAAACAGACAAAGCTACTCTGAAAAGTCGCTTATTGGCAAATGGTTATTGATTATCCACTTCCTCGGCCTGGCATTATGCTGCGGGTCAGGGCAGAGAAGGTGAAAATGTGGACTCTTGTTCTTGAAGAGGTCACTGTGTAGCAATGATCTCTGTATTCTGGCATGTGCCACATGTGAAACATGAACAGAGATTTAATGGCACTCTAAGAAAGAGGGCTGAGTTCCTCTAGATCTGAGAGTGTGGCCGGGGCAGGCAAAGAAAATGAGCGGTGAAGGTAGGAAGAGGTGATGCTTGAGCTGCTGAAAGCTGAGGTGAGTTTAGTGCAGAGACAGCCTCCTCTATGGACTGAGAAAGGTCATCTTCAGTGATTTCCCAAAGCCTACAGGAGGATGGGGAGAAGGCTCAGCTCTCACTGCAGCCCAAGGGAGAGAAATTCCTAATCATTTCCTTTGGAAATGTCACCAACCTATGAGTGCTCCCCCTGGTGTAGACATATGGAAATACAAACACCATATTCACTGCCCAGGCTATTAATTGGCAGCATTTATCACCTACATGGCATGCACCTATAAATTTTATTGATAAATAAAATAATATAGCATATACTTCACTACATATCTACAGATGTTGAAAGTAAATATCCAATATATCAAAAATAAACAGAAGAAAATTTAGTATTTCCCCTCCTCACCCATATAGACCATCTCACTTAATCATGGAGCACACCACATCATTTTAGAGACATATAAAATCCACTGTTTTTCTACTAGGAATGCAGATAAATGGTAGAACATTTGCCCAGCCTGCAAAAGGCCCTGGGTTCTGTCCCTGGCACTACAAAAACAGAAAAGTATGTTTGCAAAAAACCACTGTTTTCAAATCATGCTTAAAAGCAGTACGTGATAGTAGTGAAAAATGTCAATTCAAAAGTCACGTGTTCTGGCTGCGAATTCTGGCTTCACCCCTTGCCAGCTGGCTGACAACCTCTCTGACTTCAAAATTCTTTTCTTTAAAACAGGACTGTTGGACACCCATGTTCACTGCAGCATTCTTCACAACAGCCAAGAGGTGAAAGCAATCCAAATGCCATCACTGGAGGAATGGATAAGCAAACTATGGCTTCGACGTACAATGGAATATTAGCCTTTAAAAGAGAAAGAAATCCTGCCACATGTCATAGAAGAGATGAACCTAGAGGACATTATGTTAAGTGAACTAAGGCAATCACAAAATGACAAATCCTATATGATTCAGCCTATATGAGGTATCCAAAACAGTCAGACTCACAGAAACAGAAAGTAGAATGATTGTTGCCAGAAGCCAGAGACAGAAAGGAAACTATTGATTTGGGAACACAGAGTTTTACCTTCACAAGATGAAAAACTTCTGGAAATCTGCTACACAACAATGTGAATGTACTGAAGACTCTTGAGCTGTACACCAAAAAAGGGCTAAGATGATCAAATGTATATCTTATAATTTCTAAAAGGATTAAAAAATAAATTTTCTAAAAAAGAATAATAGTATTCACCTCACAGATACCTTACAAAAATTAATTAATATAAATCATTGAAATGGGTGCCTGGTACCTGGTAAATACTTTATAAACTGTTTATGATTATTTCCTTCAGTGACATTAAAATAATGTGGGTTTTTGTTTGGGTGGTTGGTTGGCTTTTGTACACTGTCTTAAAGAGCAATACAGATGAGATGAAAAAGAAAAGAAGGTGATCTTCAAAAGCGTGCATTTTCAAAAATGTGTAGGAGTTCCCTGGGCGAAGGGGAGGTGAGGCCATCTGCCAGTGCAGCTCCTTACCTCAACCACCTTACGAAGGCTTCCCACAGACGCTGTTGATGCTCTTTCCCTCTCCTCAGCCTCTCTCTTGTTCCCAAGGGCTTTTTAACCTGCTGGCTGGAGAAAGGCCATGTAATAGCTGACATTTGCTCTCTGTCTCCTTATATGTCTTCCATCACAGGGCCCAGAGAGTAAAGCCAGCCCACTCCCCAGCCTTCCCAGTGGTCACGGGAACCCATTCTGTCCCAAAGCATGGGATAGACATTCATTTCTTTTTGTTCTGTCTCAACTGTTTGGGATGCTCGGAAGCTCAGTGACATCAGGATGCAAGGGTCACACCAAGGTTGAGAAGGGTGATGTACTGAATTTCCCTGCGCCACACCAGCCCCGGGTGACCTCCCACCAGTGCTTCGCTGCCGTTTGTAGGGGTATCTATCATTTGTTGCCAAACACACTGGATTAGTCGGGTCATTAAAGGATGTATAAAGGTGAGGAATAAAGAAAAGAAGGAAGGCCTGTCAAGAAGGAAGGCCTGTTGAGAAGGAGCCCTGGGCATCCAATCCATCTCACATGCCTGCAGGGTCCTCAGAGCCTGCACCTGCGTTGGTGTTGGTTATTGCTGCCATCTGGTGGCAATATTTTGGAACCACTGCTTCAGGCCATGAACTGATTTTCCTTCAGCTCTTTCCTTCCACCTTTCATCCATCCATCTGTTCACTCATGCATTCCTCCTAACAACATTTTGTGAGGACCTGCTATGTGGGGCAAGTCCTTAAGAACACAACAAGGACATATGATAATGAGAGGGAACCTCCTGCTCCTGCCACTTGAAACACATTTGGGAGAAGACAGCCATGAATCAAATTTAAAAAATGAAAAATTATGACTGGAAAGTTTGACAAGAGGAGAATCTGGTGCTTTGAAATAGAGATCTGACTTGGAGAGAGGAGTGGATATTGGGCAAAGCTCTCCTGAGGAAGTGCCATCTGGCCTGAGTTCTGAGAGATAAACTGGTCACAGGGAAGAAAGGCAGTTTCCTGGGTAGTGAGAGCAGTCATCTAAGAGGTGCAAGAAAAGTGTGTACTGAGGGTGAGCAGGAGAAGAAGGCTGCGTGTCTGGGCCAGCCCTGAGCACAAGGCACTCTGGTTTCTGGACTGAGACTCTGGCTGCAGATTGGAGTTGCCATAGGGATCTTACCTGAGCGTGAGCTAAAGAGACATCCTCTGGCAGACATGCACAGAACGCCCTTGTCTCAGGTGCCCATGGGCTGTTCTCCAGGACAGACCACACACCAGACCATAAGACAAGGCTTTAAAGGATTTAAACCACAAAATGTGTTTTCAGATCACAATAGAGTGAAATTAAGATCGTTATTAGAAGGAAACCTGGGGAATTCCAAGATCTAGAAATTAAGCAATACAATTCTTTCATCTCCATTTTATGGCTATGGAATAAAGCCTTTCTTTCTCCCCTTGTGTCTTGGACATTAATTTTTGCATAGGATGAGACTCCAAACCTAGGTTTGATAACACTTTTGTCTACAGATTTTGCTGTAAATATTCAGCTTTACACGGACACCTGTAGAACATGTGAGCTATGTTTTGTCCAAAATTATAACACAAGGTTAACTTTTTACAATCTGATGTCTGTAAGTCCCGTAAAATTCCTCCCTATTGTTAGCTTGTAGCAACTAATAGTCGACCACAACAAAGATGGCGGAAGCGGCCTCACCAGGACAACTGGGTCACCAATCGTCAACCGCATCTGTATATTTAGTTCCGGCTTGTTTGACGTAACTTCCGCCTCGACGCGGCGTGGGAATCTCTCCCCGAGGTGTCCGCGAATTTACCGAGGTAGGTGAACACAGCCTTCCCCGAGTGGTGCTATAGGCTTGGAAAGCATGTGGGCGCCACAGCATGGAGAGGGAAGACGGGACGTCCGTGGCTGTTGTCGCAGTTGTGACCGAGCGGCGGTTCGCTCAGCGGTACAGGGAATTTCTCGAGAAGCAGAAACTCTTGGATAGACGGCACCGCGTGGAAAAGATGCCCGACGGCACCGTGGCGCTACCGGTGCTGGGGGAGACGCTCCCCGCGCAGCTTCTGCAGGAGCTGAGGACTCGCGTGGCCCCGGGCAGCACGTGCGTGCTGACGCAGCTCCTGGATCCTCTTCCTTCGAGGAAGGCCCAGGGTTGTTCGCCTGCCCAGAGACTGTGTCTGGAGGTGAGGCGCTGGGTAGAGGGCCGGGGAGTGGCGTGGTCGGCTGAATTGGAGGCTGATTTGCCCCGATCTTGGCAACGACATGGTAATCTTTTGTTGTTGAATGAAGACTGTTTCCAAAACAAGCAGTGGAAAAATCTGGGACCAGAACTCTGGGAGACCGTTGCCTTGGCATTTGGCGTCCAGCGTTTAGCAAAACGAGGGCGGGTATTCCCGGATGGCACTCGAACTCCAGCGGTGACTCTGCTGCATGGCGACCATGGCTGGGTAGAGCATGTGGATAATGGCATCCGATATAAGTTTGACGTAACCCAGTGCATGTTCTCCTTTGGAAACATCACTGAAAAGCTGCGAGTGGCATCGCTGCCCTGTGCTGGACAAGTGCTGGTGGATCTCTATGCAGGGATTGGTTATTTTACATTGCCCTTCCTAGTTCATGCTGGTGCTGCCTTTGTCCACGCCTGTGAGTGGAACCCCCATGCTGTAGTCGCTCTGAGAAATAATCTGGAGATCAACGGAGTAGCAGATCGGTGCCAAATACACTTTGGGGATAACAGGAAGCTGAAGCTCTCAAACATTGCAGATAGGGTGAACCTGGGTCTGATTCCCAGTTCAGAAGAAGGCTGGCCCATTGCCTGCCAGGTGCTACGACGGGATACTGGGGGCATTTTGCATGTCCATCAAAATGTGGAATCTTTCCCAGGGAAGAATCCCCAGCCTCCTGGAAGTAGCAAAATGGAGAAAGAACATTGGCCTTATCCTCAGAAAATTATCACCAATGAATGGGAAAATGGAACTACCAGAGATTTTAGGAGGAAACTGCTTTCACAAGCCACCAAGCTAGAGTGGCAAAGGTGGGCAGAATCTGCAGAAACTCGAATTGCCATTCTTCTTCAGCAGGTGCATGGGAAACCATGGAAGACACAAATCCTGCACATCCAACCGGTGAAATCTTATGCTCCCCATGTGGATCACATCGTTCTGGATCTGGAATGTCGCCCAGTCCTATAGTTGGCTAGAGGAGGTGGATTCAGTGAGTGACACAAGGGATCCAAGGGGCCCTTAATGCATCATCTCAGGCTGGTCTCTCTTTTTTTTTTTTTTTTTTCCTGGTGATCTTTTTAAATATTTTATGGCTTGAAAGCAGACTCTAGACCAACCAAAATAATTTCATTTGTCTTCCATTGATCACATTGGGAATGTGCTAAATATCTAGGAAAAACAGCATAGCTTTTTAAAATGAGGTTAATCTGTGTAATCGTAAATTCTGAATTCTGTCCTCGTTCTGACCTTGAATATATGGTTTCAATATTCATTTGGTCATGGATTTCCTTGAAAAAATTAGGGTTTCTTTGAAATATTTCACATGGCTGTTGTCTAATAAGCAGTTGTACACAAGTATTGGTCATTCTAGAGTGGAAAATACTGTTCCCCAAATCAGTCTAGCTACTGGAGAAATCTGCTGGAGAAGAGACCAGCGAGGAAGCTTCTGTGCTTGTTCAGGTGTGAGGTTGGGGTGGCTAGTCTACAGTGGTGTGAAGTGGGTAGATTTGAAAATAAAATCTGTGGACTCAAGTATGAATCCAAATCAAGACAATGCCGCTTTGTTGTTATGACTAAATTAGAGAGGGAATGAGAGTGGGGGTAACTAACTCCATTCTTCCAATTTAGCATTCCTAAATGAATGTAGGGGAGATGTCATAAAGTTTGTCTTGGTAGAAAAGGGGTTAAAATCACTGTGAAATCCAAATTTCTAGTGTTAAACTGTGTAATAGCTGTCAGTTGTTAGCACTATGGCTCCATTAATTCAACTCCTGGCTCTACTTAAGTGTGACCTGAGGCAAGTCATGAACCTCTCCAAGATTTAGTTTCTTCATCTGTATATTAGGTCAACCATCATACATGTCCTGTAGGGTAGCTGATAGGTTTAAGTGAATTAACATGTCATCAGAGAAACTGGCATATAGTGACTACTTCATTCATTCATTGTCAGGCTTGTATGCAGTAATCATATTTCCTAATTTTGGCTGTGAGGGATTTCTATACATGTAGTTTACGTGAATCAGAATGTCAGTATGTTGAAGAAACAGCTATACTCCTGGGTACAGTGCAGCTCTATTCCCAATAGCCAAGAAATGAAAATAGCCTGAGTGTCTTCAACTGATGAATAGATAAAGAAAATGTGGTACCTATAAACAATAGGATACAATTCAGCCATCAAAAAGAGTGAAATCCTGTCATTTGTGACGATATGAATGAAACTGGAAATCTTTATGTTACAGGAAATAATCCAGGCACAGAAAGACAAGTACCACATGATCTCACTTATATATGGAATCTAAAGAGTTGATTTCTTAGAAGTTGAGATGGAAAGGTGGCTACCAGAGGCTGGGGACAGTGGGGGAAAGGTTACTGGATGGAACTGAATTACCATTAGAGGAAATGAGTTCGAGTGTGCTGTTGAATCAGGGTAACTACAGATAATAGTAGTGTACTGTATTTCAAAAAGCTAGAAGACTTTGAATGTCTTCACTATAAAGAAATGAAAACTAAGGAGACAGATGTTGGACCAGGTTTAAATATTACATAACATAGTGTATACATATATTGAAACATTACATGGTACAATGTTTATGTTTTTACCAGTAAATGTCATTGAAAAAAAAATAAGAAAACTTGGAAAATCTTTAGGAAGGAAAGCAAGAGCTGAATTTTAACTTTGAGTTGAGGTAAATCAGGTAAAGGCAGAGGAAGTGAGAACTCCTTAGACTCTTCTTCAGGCTAGGCCTTTTCTGTCTTCGGGGAAACATTCTCTCGGGCTTACCATGCAGTTGCTATTGAGTCCTTCCTCTAGCCCCTTCTCCACATTCTTAAAGGGCTCCCCTTTCATTGGGGCTCAGAGTGAATCCGCTCACCACAGGAGACACTGAAGTTGACTCACTGTACCCATCTGAGTCCCTCTTTCTCCTAAAAAAAAGAAGGGCTGCCTCCCCTGTGGCTGTAGTAGCAAGGAGATAAAGGCTGAAGTCCCCGGGTCTCTGACCTTGAAGAAGAGCAGCCATCTCTCCAGGCATGCTAGAGTAGGATTGTAGGACTCGATTTCCTAAGGATGTCCTTGATCAACTACACCAGCCCTGAAACTTCTAATTGCTAAACTTCTTTTCACATGAAAATAAAAATAAACCCGCAAACCCACCCCTACTCCCACATACATATAAACAGACCTATTTAAGTTATGATTTGGAATTTTTTTAACTTACAGGCAATAAATACTTCTACCTGGTATTTTGTATAGTGGAGTGGCCAGATGTATAAGACATATGATAGAGGTAACAAAACCAGCAGTGGGGGAATGCTCACGCCCAAAACAGGGCATTTTGAAATCAAAAGTTCCTTTCCAGATATTGCAACAGTTAATGCTGCCATCTAGTGGACATGCTGTGGAAATAAAAACTGTGCCTCCATGATCTGTCTTTATTCTCCTTTCCTTCTCTTCACCTTTCCACAAATGTTTTTGAGCCTGAACAATATATCAGATACTGTGGCAACCACTGGTAATAAAATAATAAGCAAACCAGACAACAATAAAATAGTAAACAAACAATCCCAGTCTCCATGGATAGGCCTTACACCACCCACATATGTTTCATGTAACAACTTAGATTCTAGTAAATGCTGGAAGGGGAGGTTGGTGGTGCAAATGGAAGCCAGGATGAGGGTTGACGTGGTCAGGAAGGTCAGAAAGAGCTGCCCCAGAAACATGATGGTTGAGAGCTGAAGAGCAAGTGGAATTAAGTGAGTGGACCATGAGACAGCATTCCAGGAGTGAGGGCAGGGTGTGCAGGTGCCCAGTGGAGGGGCTGGGGACCGAAACAAAGGGAGAAGAAGAAACAAGGGGTAAAGGTGTGCTAACCAAGCAGCCAAGTTGAGTGGTGGTCAGACCAGGAAGGGGCATCATGGAAGTGTCTTAAGCAAAAATAGGACATGGTTAAACTGAGGTTTTATAAATTCACAGTTTATCAGAATCCCAGTGTTCTAAAATGCTTTAGAATATACTTAAAGCACACTTAACCCCCCAAGAGTCTTTAATCTATCCACCCTCATTTCCAACATGTGTGACATGGAACTGTGCAAGGAAATAGCCTCATACACGTGGTTCATAATGAAGAATGTGTTTATGTTCATGAGAGAAAGGCTGGCCTCAGAATGCGTTGGCATATATTCTTTCATTTTTTTTGCAAAAGTGTGTAGAACTATTATTACTTCTCTTTCTCTCTCTCCCCCTCCCTCCCTTTCCTCTCCTGTCTAGTATTCTACTCTGTGAACTCCAGTTGCCTTGGGATCCTGGCTAGGCCTACACTTGGATTCTCCTTCCCTGTGCCACAGCCTGGAAATTTTCTCCAGGCAGTAACTGGAGCAATTGTATGACTCATTTGGTATACTTTTCATCTCTGATGAACCATCATCCTTCAAGGCTTATGTACAATTCCCTGACAGTCATCTTTTTTTTCATGTGTTTTATCCAGTTTTTTAAACTTTAAAGGTTTGTAATAGTTGTGTACTTTCAAAGTCATTTTAGAAATTCACTCTAGTAATACTATGCGCATGTACTTCAGTTGACAAAAATATCAATATGTGAAGCACATAAAATTTTTTTGCTATAACTGTTTAGAATGCTTACTTATGAAGGGAATATTAAAGTATTAAAAATGCAACTACATGTTTTTCTGATTAGACATGACAATAACTTGCAGGATTTCTTGATCATCACACACAATTTCAGTCCAAAAAGTGTCAAAATAGATATTTGACTTTTGACTTTTTAAAGGTCATGGTTGAATCAAAAGTAAAAAAAAAAAAAAAATGTTGAATGAATTCAGGTTCCAACTAAATGTTGCATGCACTCTTCCCTGCCCTCTCTTGCCCACAATTGCATTAGGTAGGTCAGTAGATACATATGGGTGGAGAGATTACTCCAGTTCCTATTTTTTTAGTAGTTTCTATTTTTTTAAAAAAAGCCTTACATAAACATGATTAAAAACTCAAAGGTAACAATAAGTGTTGGCGAGGATGTGGGGAAAAAGGTAGACTCACACTGCTGGTGGGACTGCAAATTGGTGCAGCCAATATGGAAAGTAGTATGAAGATTTCTTGGAAAATTGGGAATGGAACCACCATTTGACCCAGCTATCCCTCTCTCCTTGTCCTACACCCAAAGGACTTAAAAACAGCATACTATAGGGACACAGCCACATCAATGTTTATATCAGCACAATTCACAATAGCTAAACTGTGGAACCAACTAGAGGCCCTTTGATACACGAATGGATTAAAAATGTGGCATATATACACAAGGCAATATTACTCAGCAATAAAAAAGAATAAAATCATGACATTTGCAGTAAATGGATGGAATTAGAGAAGATAGTGCTAAGTGAAGTTAACCAATCCCCAAAAAACAAATGCTGAAAGTTTTCTCTGATACAAAGAGGCTGATTCATAGTGGGGTAGGGAGAGGGAGCATGGGAGGAATAGATGAACTCTAGATAGGGCAGAGGGGTGGGAGGGGAAGGGAGGAGGCATGGGGGTTAGAAATGATGGTGGAATGTGATGATCATTATTATCCAAAATACATGTATGAAGACACGAATTGGTGTGAATATACTGTGTATACAACAAGAGATATGGAAAATTGTGCTGTATGCATGTAATAAGAATTGTAATGCATTCCGCTGTCATATATAAATTTAAAAAATTAATTTAAAAAAAACTCAAAGGTAACAAAACCTGTTATAAAAAAAGAAAACAACAGTCCTGCAACACTATAATGAAGCAACTCTTTCCCTCTCTTCTGTGTGCCTACTTTCAGCGATTTCAAATGGGCCTGTGTGGCAAAGGAGATAGACCTAACCACACAAACCAAGTGGAGCCATGAACATATGCATGGAACTGGTCCTAAGGGTACTGGAGCAGAAGCAGTTTGAATTCATGCTGGACAGACAATGGTGCACATTTATAGTCTTGCGCTAGGGTTATGTTAACTCTTCCATCTTCTATAATGATATAGTCTGAACATGCCACAGAAGGTCACATTGATCTACTACATTGATGACACTGTGCTGTCAGATAAACAGTAAGCATAGTGTACAGTGGAGAATGGGAATAATCCCTAATAAGATCCAGCAGCCTGTAATATCTTTTATTACAATTATATTTTTAGGATCCAATAGTTTTCTTAAGGGCCAAGATATCTCCTTCACAGTAAAAAAAAACAAATCATTGCATGTCATCCACTCATTTACCCAAATTATTCCACCATGAAAGAATCATACTGAGCTCTTCAGGCCTCTTTGTGGCAACTTAGAACTTGGGGATACTGTTCTAACTCATAAACTAGGTGAGGCTGAAGAGTACCAGTTTTCATTGTGACCCAGAGCACGCAAAGGCTATATGGCAGGTAAAGCCTGCAGTGTAATCAGTACTGTTGCTCACTCACATGGCCATTCAATCCAAGAGATTCTATGGTAAAAGTACTTGTGAAAAGAAAAATAGCCAGGGAAGTTTATGGCAAGCTCCAGAGGGAGAATCACAAGGTACACAGAACTTAAGTGTTCTGAAGCAAGGTTCATCATCTGCAGGAGCAAACCACATATCAAAAATTTTAAAATGATAATAAAAAAAAGAAAAACAAAAACCCCCCACCAGTTCTGTGCATGATAATGGGCCTTAGTAGGAACTGAGCATATCAAGTGATCATGTGGTCAGTTTCCCATCACAAGCTGGGTTTTGTCAACTCATCAGTCAATCCCCCCCTCTGGAACTGATGACAGGTAAGGGTCAGAGAAAACAGGTGGCATAGGCAGGTGGAATAACTTTAACAATGTCTATCTGTCAGCTCACAGTTATGGCCACTTGAGAGGCTCTTACAGCTAGTAGATAGAGGCAAAAAAAGAGTAGTTAACTTCGCTGAGTTTTCTTGAACTATCAGTTCAAAACAATGATGGACTGCTGCTGTCCTACGGCTCACTCAGTAGTGGTCTTAAAAGAAAACAGTGAGGGGAATGCTTCCAAAAGCAGTATTCCTGTTCATTGACTTTGGGAAAAGAAGTGGCCTGAAGTAAGAGTATACTTTCATGGCAAGTGGCAAATAGGTTAGCTGACTGATCAGGGGTCTGGAATGAGAAAGAATGGAATATAGGGAAAAGGAAACTGGAGAAGTAGCTGTGGAGAAAATCATGAGATGGAACACAAAGATCCTGGTGTTGCATAATAGTGCCTACCAAAGTTAACCTATTGTGTAAGAGGCACTGAACAACCAGCAGACAGGAAGACTTCATTGGTGAATTTCAGCACCCGCATCTATCAACTCCCCCAGTACAGGCACAATGGGCTCATGAACAAAGTAGTCCTCTTGTAGGGAGGCAAGCTCATAAGAGGCAAACAGCATTGCTTCACTTGCCAAGTAGTCACTCCTTAATGTTAACCACTGCCTCTGATCTAGTGCCACCCCTCAAGGAAACCAAGCTACTTGTCATCAGGTTATACTGGATCCTCCATTCTGGAATGTGCACTGATGCACCTTGACAACAAACTGCCCATTTCCACATGCATTTGCTTTTCTTGCCCATACAATGCTGGCCAAAAATACTATCCAAGGTTTACAGATGTTTGATCCATCAATATTCATCCTGCAGAATACTGCCCTTGACCTACAGACCTGGTTTATAGCAAAGGAGGTGTGTCACTGGGCAAATGACCATAGGATCCACGGCTCCTAACATGTAATACACATGACCCAGAAAATGCTGATCAGATGGAATGGTGTAAAAAAACTTTTGAAGATGAAACTGATGCAAAAGCTTGAAGAGAATTCCCGAAGAGGAAATGCCACCCCAGGATTCAGTACGTACACTAGGTCAATACCCATCATATGGTGCTGTGTCCCATATAGATAGAATATGTATTTGGGGATGAAAGAGTAAAAATAGAATTCCCACTATGGTATGGCTGAACAAGGCCCCCAAATATGTCTGTATCCTGATAACTGGAATCTACAAATATGTTACCTTACAGGTAAAAGGGATTTTGCAGGCCTGGTTAAGTTAATGCTCTGAACATAGGGAGATTATCCTGGATTATCACAAAGTTTCTTATATAAGAGCGAGGCAGGTTGTCATATAGATGCAACGACTTAAGCAGGAGGTTGGAGTGATGTGATGAAAGGGCCATGAGCCCGGGAATGTGGTAGGTGGCCTTGAGAAACTGAAAAAGTCAAGGAAGTAGAATTTCCCCTGGAACCTCCAGAAGAAATGCAGCCCTTCTGACACTTGGATTTTAGACTTCTGACTTCCAGAACTATAAGAAAGTGAATTTGAAACCACTGTTTATAGTAATTTGTTACAGCAGCAATAGGAAATCAACACACCCACTTACTCTCCTAATATCCTGTGGGGGGTGTTTGTGTCTC